AACAATACAGGGTAAAATGAGTAGTTTTGTGCAACAAATGCAGTAACAATACAGGGTAAAATGAGTAGTTTGGTGCAACAAATGCAGTAACAATACAGGGTAAAATGAGTAGTTTTGTGCAACAAATGCAGTTAACAATACAGGGTAAAATATATTCATGAATAGTGTTCAATCTCCACAAAAGTTCTTTCAACAAACCAAGTCCAATAAAAAAAACATTTTGTAGTTCCTATATAAACATGTTTTTCAATAATATAGTTTTTATAGTTACCACAACTTCATAGATAATAGCTGAGGTGAAGTTCTCATTGTAAAGGCTACACTGGACAAACATCTCTACAACTGTTGAAACTGACCCCGACACTTCTCTTGATGCACTAACAAACTAGAAAATATAAAAAAAAACAGTTGTCACTGCTACAGCATGAATAAAAGAATTATTATTATACCTTAACAGGAAATCTAAAAACTCCAGTTTGATATTAACCTTTTTTCCATATAAAATATTTCTGTAAAATAAAAATTAAACGTTAAGTTCGATGTAAGAAACCTAATTCTATATTTGTCACAAAAAATAAACAGATTGAAATAAAAAGGTCATTGCTTAACAAAGTACATATTTTAATTTAATGTTTGCAGAATAGCTAAGTTTTTTCATTACAAAACACAAAAGTATGCTACAAGTAAATACTTTCTGGTGAGCTTTATCAATGTTCTAATGATATAAACTGTAATTAAGTAAGCCACTGAAGAAGCTATTATGATTAATACTTAATTCATATTTGATGACGAGGAACCCACTTTGAGACTGATAATGGTTGGAGACGGCTTGAATGGGTAATGAAGAAAAAATTTAATATAAGTTGATGACAAAACCTTGTTGAAACGTTGTATATTTGCTGTTATGTTAAACTTATATTAAAGTTTTTCTACATTACCCATTCAAGCCATCTCCAACCATTATTAATTCAAATTTGTATACTTTCAATTTGTTAAAGCAGCAGTTCGTTAAGACCAAAAAGAACAATCATTATTAAAATCTCAAAGAGAACTTGGTTAGAAACTACAGTCTTTTTGATTTCTATTAATTCATGTTTAAATTGTTCACCATTAAAATTGCATTCTTAAAACAAATCTCTGTAAGTCAAAGGAACATGCCTCTCGAATAAACCGATAAGATCCTGGTCCATAAAGAGTTAACTTCACTTCCTCCGGCATGGGTATAGTACTCCTAAGCCCAACAGGGAATTTCTCTATGCCTATCAGAAAGATGTAATTCAAAGAGGTATTAGTATTAACTCCGAATAAAGTAATAAACTAATCATAAAAATAAGCATATTTTATATTTCACAATGATATTATTGGCATAAAAATGTATTTGGAATACCATGGAGTTTTTAACTGGAATAACTTTAAATAAGATATTTAGAAAAAGCTATTATGAACATACAGAATAAAAGTGAAGTTAAACAGAAAATATAATATAATATGTACACTGATAAACAAAACAAAGATTTCAATAAGAAGTATCAGTTGATTTAGCAACTACACTTTAAAGAAACCACTACACAATTTTTTTTAATTATTTGTTAAAATTGTTTCATATGAAACATTATTTTACATTCAGTCCCATACTAAAACATTTATGAGATAGTTATATCATAATTTATCTTTAGGATACCAAACTTTAAAAATTAAAAACAATTTGCTTTTAAACAACAACAAAAATGTGCATTACGACCATTTGCACCAAGTTTTAAATTTTATAACAGAAATAATAACAACTTAATGAAGGTTAGTGATAACTGAAACTGTCAAACAATAAAATTATGGACAAATAAAAATAAGTTACATAATACCTATCCAAAATTTGGTGGTCAAGTTCTGTTTAATATGAAATAAATTACAACTTTCTCTTTGACCAGCCTTCAACCAACAAAACTCGATTCGATTCGTCTTCTTCCTCTTCTCCTATTGAAAACTTTTTATGTGTATGTAAAATCATGTATAAATAATGAAAATCGGTTACTTAAAAATTATACAATTCTCTGTGTTGATTTGGGGAATGGATTCATAAGCATTATTTGGCTTGTTTAGTATGTTTGATGTTTAAGAAATGTCTGAAACTAATTTCTTGCATTGCACAAGAGTTTTGGAAGTACTAAAATAATGTTTTTGTAATATAAAACAGAACATATTTTTTAATGAAAGACTCACTTAGCTTACTAGATTCTAAGATGCATACAACAAATAATAATTAAATAACAAACTATATCAATTATTCTAAATGAGTTGCCTAGGTCCAGGGTGAAACTTCTAAGTTTTCAACAAATTAGAAGAAAAATTAATGGCTTAAAATGAAAAAAAAAAAAAAGATATATTTTCAGTTTCTAATAACTATTGAATGTTCCAATGTTTTCTCTATCCAAGCACATTGAATGAATGTTTCCAATGTTTTCTCTATCCAGGCACATTGAATGAATGTTTCCAATGTTTTCTCTATCCAAGCACATTGAATGAATGTTTCCAATGTTTTCTCTATCCAGGCACATCGAATGAATGTTCCACTGTTTTCTCTATCCAGGTGCATCGAACGAATGTTTCCAATGTTTTCTCTATCCATGCACATTGAATGAATGTTCCAATGTTTTCTCTATCCAGGCACATCGATTGAATGTTCCAATGTTTTCTCTATCCAGGCACATCGAATGAATGTTCCACTGTTTTCTCTATCCATGCACATTGAATGAATGTTCCAATGTTTTCTCTATCCAGGTGCATTGAATGAATGTTCCACTGTTTTCTCTATCCAGGTGCATTGAATGAATGTTCCACTGTTTTCTCTATCCAGACACATCGAATGAATGTTCCACTGTTTTCTCTATCCAGACACATCGAATGAATGTTCCAATGTTTTCTCTATCCAAGCACATTGAATGAATGTTCCAATGTTTTCTCTATCCAGGCACATTGAATGAATGTTCCAATGTTTTCTCTATCCAGACACATCGAATGAATGTTCCAATGTTTTCTCTATCCAAGCACATTGAATGAATGTTCCAATGTTTTCTCTATCCAGGCACATTGAATGAATGTTCCAA